GGGAGCGGGAGAGAATTGAATCGGCTATGGAATCTTGAAAAGGTTTCTCACCTGTCACTGAACCTGGGAGGAAGTCCGAGGAACATTAAAACAGCTTTACATAGATGAAAAATTCTCGTTTGTAAAGCTCTTTCAGATCTGTTTATTAACCTTGCTTGCCTTGAAATCCCGCTTCTATGGAGTCCTCAGCTGCTCAGTTCAGCTAACTATTGCTCCAGTTGCTGTGAATAAAATAAAAGCTTTATCCCCATCACCCATGATGTCGCACAAATTTTGCTTTTTCATTTCCAGCAATATAAGTGTCGTAGTAGAATCAAGATGTCGACCAGGAGTAGGGGGTAGGGTGCCTTTTCATTTTCATTGCCTACCACCTCCTGCAGCCTCGTGCAGCCTGATTGACTAGAGACATCCCCTGCTTGAAGCCATGAGTTTTTCAATCAAGGATGTTGGCGTCAGGGTAATGACTGCCCCACCGTCTACAACATGGGCTAAATGAAATTGAGTTCTTCGTGAAGATGCGGAGTACCAACAGTGAAATTGAATTCTCTGTGAAGATGCGGAGTACCAGCAGCTAGACGGAGAGAGAGAGAGCGGGACGACTTCCTAGTTTTTAGGGGTGGAATCTTCAGAGAGGAATCAAGATCGAACGGTGAATTGGGTTGTGGCCTAGGCTACTAGCCGGGCTGCCCGGGTGACCATATTTTCCCGGGTGGCCAGGCCGTGCAAGGACCAGGGAAGGTCCAGGTCCCAGCCAAACAAACAAACAAACAAACAAACAAACAAACAAACAAACAAAAAAAAAAAACAAAAAAAAAAACTATGTTATGCAGAAAGATAAACCGAACAACTTTTGCCTCAGGGTCGGATCGAATTTTGTTACCAAATTAAAAATATATATATATAGATATATATATTTTTATTTCTTTTTGGCCCGGCTGGGCAAGTGGACCCGGGCCACTCTGGTAGCCTAGGTTTTGGCGTTTTTTCGCCCTACGGCCTTGTTAGAATGGGCCGGCCGGGCAAATGGGCGACGACCGACCGGTTGGCCCGACCGATTGGCTGTAGAATGGTCGGCGATTGGCATCAACTGTTGCCTCCAATCTCCAATGCGACCCCCCAACCCGTAGAATAAGGTAGCACAATAATAAGCATTAGAAAGTTCACTGGGGAAACAGAAAAAAGGTATTAACCCGATCCGTTTTGGCTAAGATTAAAGTGTAGTATCTTTTCTTTTTCTACGAGTTTAATGTTTGATTCGTGGTAAAACAAAACAAAACAAAAAACGGGAAAAAAAAGCAGGGAAAAAAAAAAAAAAACATTATTAAGAATGGACTCAATAGAGAAGGTTATTGGGGGGGAACAGAAAAAAGGTATCTTTATCTGTAACAGCAAGCTTTTTTTTTTTTTTTTGATTGAGGGTCATCGGTGTGTTCTTGTGATAAGCTCATGCCCTGTATGGAGAAAGAAGCAAGTAAATCATGTGAGGAATGGAGCAGGAAAAAGAACACAGGACGATCAAAAACAAAGGGGAAAGGAAAAAAAAAAAAAAGAGCTTGAAAACTTGAAAAATACTAAACAATGAAACACAGAAAAATGCATTTGACAAGAGTTGAAAAAAAGGACGA